GTATATTGTTGACCAAGCCAAAAAACTGGTCCAGCACAACACTGAGGCTTTGAGATTTTCCAGAAGGTTTCTAGAAAACCTTCAACCAATGCCCAGTTGAAGTTCACCCTTTTCGTCTTTGATTATGATTTTTGAGGTGTCCTGAGCAGTTCCTAAAAGGTTCCTCGAGTCAACATGAGATTTGTGCGAGATATGAGAATTTTAATTTTTGCTAGTAACAGGCGAAAAACTGGTTTTTTACAAAAATGCCTCTGGCGAAGTTATTTTCATTTCTACACAAAAACAAATATTGTCACTATGCTCAGCGTAGTCGATCACCTATACTCCATGGCATTTCGAGATTCCCAGAGATGTTTACTCTGAGATAGAAAGCGAGCCTTGTCCAAACGACGATAGCTGGAGAGCTGGGACTTGCATAATTTTGTAGAGTAACGTCCGAACTACCTACGCATGCAAAAAAATTGCTAACATTGTATGTTAGTTTTCTGAGAACGGAGCTGGTTTTCCAAAGATCCTCTGGAAAATCGGACTTCCAGAAATTTTGAAACAAGTTTCTGCTTACAGAAGCATGCCTTAAGGTATTAGCAACATGATGGTAAAAGCCGCATGTCTCGATCTCATTCCTGTCGGAAGTTATTCAAAACACAACGGAGTGCGTTCTATTTTGGTACAGACAGTAGTAACTGCAGGAATGTTTCATAGACTAACCGTATCGTTTAAGAATTTCTTTAAATTTGAATATACATATGTATTTTATACCAAGCCTCTTGTTTAAAGTGCCAATGCTTAACATCATGATTCAGCTGATTCTTTCTATTTTGTCCTTTTTCAAAAAAGAACAAATAAAATTTCTAATAATGCTGATACCCCCATTCAAACAGGAGACTATGATCTTGTATTGCGTAGAGGCCGTTCTATTTTGGTACAGACAGTAGTTAGAGAAAGAAAATTTACTGCAACAGAAGAATGCCCTTTAAGACTAGACTGACCGAAAAGAATAGAAAACTACAGTCAGGAGACCCAAGCAAACATCACCTATGGGACACATCTGGATGCATTTCGTCTGAAATCAGTCGATACGACTATTTGCCGTCCAGATTACTAGTTGAAATGGGAACTTTTAACTAGACGTGTGTGCATGTGTAACTAGCAATAGCTAAATCGATCGATTATGGAGCGATAAATCGATTGTCGCAACTCAGCAGAAATCTAACAACCGCCCGATTACTCGATGTTCACTGTCGTTAGCAAATAACTGCAATCGAGTAAAAATCCAGTAATCTGTATGAATCGGGCGATACTAAAATTTTTTTATGCTTGTGAGTTAATGGTATTCATATACAATCAAGCAGCTGTTTTTTACAAGGGTTCAAGAAAATCTCTCTTGAAAAACATTTATTTCATACCTAAATGTGGTTATGAACACTTCGCCTACGTAGACAACTCAGATATATGTTTAGTCCACAGCAAGCCTTCACTACTTATCCTTTCTGTTTATTTTAGTGTCTCACACTTGTTTTTTCGCTCTTGATTTACCGCCCTACTCAACAGAAGAGATTATGTACGAACGTTTAAATTATGCAATCACGCATTGTTCAAGCATTGATGCTGATTATACATTTAATGAAGCTGATGATAATACAACAACGCAGAATGATCCAAACGAAGAAGAAGATATATCATCAACATCAATCTTAACTGAATAAGTACGATTATCGACAAGCACAAATTTATCATCTCTACATACAGCACAGAGCAAAAACAGATATTATAAAAAGTTTTTATGTTACTTTAGAGATCGGGCTTTTAAAATAATTGTTATACGTGTATCAGAACGATCGAATTCACATAATCTCATGTCTCTTGTTCAACAGACGATCAGACATTTGAGAATCTTCCTGTGTCATTCGAGATAACAAGCAGCTGCGAATTCTAAATTATTTAATGACGTCCGATTTCTCACCAAGCTTTTCTTTAGTCATACTAATGGTATTGCAAATGTCCAGCAAATCTGAATGATCTATTAATAAAACTTTTTCGTAAATTTCTAATTCTTTTGAACAATATTCTAACGCTTGAATGTAATCGTTTTTTTTTCAAAATACGCATAACCAATGTTTCGAAAACATAATGCTATATCTCGATGATCCATTGATAAAGTTTTTTCCACATTTTTAATACTTTTATATAGTATTGCAGTGCACAAGCAGAATTATTATCTTTTTTATAGTAAACTTGTCCTATAAGATTTAAACATTTTTCAATATCACAATAATCAGTATTACATTTTTTTTCATATATTTTTACTGCCCGTTTTAAAGTTGTGAATAGATTCTACCAATATTTTTTAAAGTACATCTGTCTGATATAGACATGATCATTAGAAACAGTTTTTACTAACATTTTCAAAGCATCTGAATAATATTATAATGCTTTATCATATTTTTTTTTGTTCGATAGAAAATTTTACAATATAGTAGGCGTGTTACATCAGGATTCTATCTCGATAATCACTGAACCAAACTTTATGAAACTCAGTGCTAAGCACTGAGAGTTTATTACCGTCTTCTTTCTTTTCTTCTCTTGGATACTTTAGTGTTTTTCGAACTTTTACGTTGAAAAAATCATCGAGATTTTCATCCAAGAATAAAATTCAACGAAAAATTGCGAAATACACATTAGTCGATTCGTTTTTTAATCATGATTCCAAGTATGATATTTTTATTACATAGAAACTGAGTTCTGCTGGGAAAAATTGAGAGCTATGGTTGGAATTCCAACTTTTTCACCTCTGATTTAGAAAAAAAACATAGAAAACCAGGCACACGTGGTACGGGAACATTGTTAAACCCTTAAGTTTGGTCAGTTTTTGATTCGCTATCCAACTACCTTCAAACCAAGGTTCCATCGCTCACCTGAACTGAGCTATTTCAGTTTTAGAAAAACTTGAATGTTTTTAAATTTCAAATTAAACTCAAAAACTGGAATTTTAAGTTGAAAACTTGATTGTTTTTTCAAAATGTTCGCCATTCGACGTTGAATTCAAATATGTCATTAAAAATGTTTCATCTCCTAAGAGTAATTTTTAAAAATCGTTTTAAGAAGTACAACTCTCAGAATTAGGGTTTATAGAAGTACAACTAGCCCGAAAACTACGGTTTTTGCTGCATTATAAAAATTTGATGATTATTAGGTTATTAGGTTATTATTATTAATTAGGTGTGCACCAGTATCGGTACCGGTACTAGTAAAAGTGCTCCACAAAAGTTTAAGACCTTTTTTCTTGCAATAACTCAACTTCCTTGATAGATACAGACTCCGGTCTTTCGCCAAAAGAAAGCCTACGTTGGGTACTATAAATCCTGAGAAAACGGTTAAATTCCAGGTTAATTTGACTGAGCTAAAGCAAAAACGCGGTGTTTTACACAACTGCAAAATCTTACTTCCTGAGTATTTCACATTTCCTAACCAAGAGAATTGCGCGAAAAAAATTCAAAAACACATCATTCGATAGAAAAGTTTACGAGCTATCCGTTGCTGATCAAAGTTTCAGTTTTTGAGCATGTCTTTATCGCCAAAAACCTCTTTTAGTTAGAGCTGGTCCAAAAAAATGGAAAACCCTCGATTTCTCCGCCCTAACTAAAACAAGGTTTTGGCGGTGAAGACATGCTCAAAAGCTGAAACTTTGATCAGCAACGGATAGCTCGTAAACTTTTCT